CTGTTCTTAGTCTTGGACTGCCACCCAGGAAGTATGAGGTTGTGGTCCACCAAAGTTATTTCCTCCGGTAGAAGTGTCCTCACGTCGAACCTGAACTCCATACTTGCTGGTGTGACGGTACAACAAGTTAAAAAAAGGCTGTGCCGGACTAGATGGGAATGTTGCAGCAGAGGTAGTGGGTGTCAGCAGCAGCAGCAGCAGCAGCAGACGACACCAGCTTCTCCCAACAACTGATCAATGTCAATATTAAGAGAGAAAACGCTAACCCACCAGCCTCTCGCTAACTATTTAATATTTTATTTAGTGGTAAATTATTTCTTTCCTTAGTTGTATACATTTTGTTAAGTGTAATCTGCGTTTAATTGGAGATATCTAGTCACATGAAGTCTTTTTCAATCCTAATTAAAACACATGGAGATCAAAAATAGTTATATTTTTTTTTCCGCCGTCATATTAACACAGAAGCTATCAACTCAATTATCAAATAGATTTTCAAAATACAGGTTAATAATGCTATAAATGACAGTATTATTATTCCAGATGAAATGACTATCTCAGGAATATCATTATTTGCTGCAAATAACCTGCGACTACACAGAGGACAATGCTCCCTTTACTCTCTCTGAAAACACAGACTTTCTCTAAATGGTCGTAACTTTGGATACATGATGGGGTTTTTTTTTTTTTTGTAAGGAAGTCTAAATACTAATTAGACGTGTTTCAGTCGCTGTGTGATCCCAGAAAGAATCCCCGTATCTCATAAGCCTAGTTCTTTCTCTCTCAATGAACGTAAAAGCAAGAGTATAGAGAGCGGAAGAGAAATAAGATAAGAGTCTAATAGAGTAAATATCAGCATTGAAAATCTGAAGCTAATTGGAAGAGGCATTCATAAATTATAGAACGCTTTAGGCATGTACACCCAACTACTATAATTCCTCGTACAACTATGTATCATGTCCAAATATAAATTATTATTATTATTATTATTATTATTATTATTATTATTATTATTATTATTATTATTATTATTATTATTATTATTATTATCCCAACTGTAAATTGTCACCTGTGAGAGTTTAAAATCAGTCATATTATTATTATTATAATCAAAAAGAAGCGCTAAGCCACAAGGGCTATACAGCAAAATAAGTCATAAGAGGCATTCTGTAGTTATTTCACAGACATCAACATCCCAAAATACACCAGAACTCTAAGTTTGAACCCGCTCTGAAGTTACATTTTCAGGTTATGAGTTTTGAAGTTCTGAAGCCGATTGGACAAAGCTGTCACAGATTATGACATGAAAACAAGTATTACAATTTCTTCAATAAAACTGGCACCTGCACATCCCAAAGTCAATCCAGTTTACTGTGTACCCTCATGATCATCCAGTGAGCAGATAGTTTACTGTTGTTAGGTAAGACACATATGCAACGGTTAGGTATCTTTATTTTGAAACGTTTCGCCTACACAGTAGGCTTCTTCAGTCGAGTACAGAAAAGTTGATAGAAGCAGAAGAGACTTGAAGACGATGTAATCAGTCCATCACCCTTAAAGTTTTGAGGTGGTCAGTCCCTCAGTCTGGAGAAGAGCATTGTTCCAAAGTCTGAAACAATATGAAGTTGAATGAACAGGATGGAGCCTTATATAGCGCCAGGAGGTGAGACGTAGGTCACTTTGGGAGGTCAGGTCCCTCTCAAATCCAGCCGTTCTCACTAGTAGAAGTTGTCGAAGTAGATTTCAGGTCTGTACCAAGATACCCTTGTGTAGCAGTGTCTGACAGATTGAACATTAAAATGGTATAAAATACCGACAGGTATTTTATACCATTTTAATGTTCAGATAGTTTACTGTTTACCCTCATGATCATCCAGTGAGCAGATAGTTTACTGTGTACCCTCATGATCATCCAGTGAGCAGATAGTTTACTGTGCACCCTCATGATCATCCAGTGAGCAGATAGTTTACTGTGTACCCTCATGCTCATCCAGTGAGCAGATAGTTTACTGTGTACCCTCATGCTCATCCAGTGAGCAGATAGTTTACTGTGTACCCTCATGATCATCCAGTGAGCAGATAGTTTACTGTGTACCCTCATGATCATCCAGTGAGCAGATAGTTTACTGTGTACCCTCATGATCATCCAGTGAACAGGTAGTTTACTGTGTACCCTCGTGATCATCCAGTGAGCAGATAGTTTACTGTGCACCCTCATCATCATCCAGTGAGCAGGTAGTTTACTGTGTACCCTCATGCTCATCCAGTGAGCAGGTAGTTTACTGTGCACCCTCATCATCATCCAGTGAGCAGGTAGTTTACTGTTTACCCTCATGATCATCCAGTGAGCAGATAGTTTACTGTGTATCCTCATGATCATCCAGTGAGCAAATAGTTTACTGTGTACCCTCATGATCATCCAGTGAACAGATAGTTTACTGTGTACCCTCATGATCATCCAGTGAGCAGATAGTTTACTGTGTACCCTCATGATCATCCAGTGAACAGATAGTTTACTGTGTACCCTCATGATCATCCAGTGAGCAGATAGTTTACTGTGTACCCTCATGATCATCCAGTGAGCAGGTAGTTTACTGTGTACCCTTATGCTCATCCAGTGAGCAGGTAGTTTACTGTGTACCCTCATGATCATCCAGTGAGCAGGTAATTTACTGTGTACCCTCATGATCATCCAATGAGCATGGTAGTTTACTGTGATCCCTCATGATCATCCAGTGAGCAGGTAGTTTACTGTGTACCCTCATGATCATCCAGTGAGCAGATAATTTACTGTGTACCCTCATGCTCATCCAGTGAGCAGATAGTTTACTGTGTACCCTCATGATCATCCAGTGAGCAGGTAGTTTACTGTGTACCCTCATGCTCATCCAGTGAGCAGGTAGTTTACTGTGTACCCTCATGATCATCCAGTGAGCAGGTAGTTTACTGTGTACCCTCATGATCATCCAGTGAGCAGATAGTCTGTGTACCCACATGCTCATCCAGTGAGCAGATAGTTTACTGTGTACCCTCATGCTCATCCAGTGAGCAGATAGTCTGTGTACCCACACGCTCATCCAGCGAGCAGATAGTTTACTGTGTACCCTCATGATCATCCAGTGAGAAGGTAGTTTACTGTGTACCCTCATGATCATCCAGTGAGCATTTAGTTTACTGTGTACCCTCATGATCATCCAGTGAGCATATAGTTTACTGTGTATCCTCATGCTCATCCAGTGAGCAGGTAGTTTACTGTGTACCCTCATGATCATCCAGTGAGCAGGTAGTTTACTGTGTACCCTCATGATCATCCAGTGAGCAGGTAGTTTACTGTGTACCCTCATGATCATCCAGTGACCAGATAGTTTACTGTGTACCCTCATGCTCATCCAGTGAGCAGGTAGTACTGTGTACCCTCATGATCATCCAGTGAGCAGGTAGTTTACTGTGCACCCTCATGCTCATCCAGTGAGCAGGTAGTTTACTGTGTACCCTCATGCTCATCCAGTGAGCAGGTAGTTTACTGTGTACCCTCATGCTCATCCAGTGAGCAGATAGTTTACTGTGTACCCTCATGATTATCCAGTGACCAGGTAGTTTACTGTGCACCCTGATGCTCATCCAGTGAGCGTCTAGGTAGAGCAAAAAAAAAACAGTATTACAGATCACACAAATGATCTTCATCAGGCTCCACTGGGTATAGTTACATCACAAAAATATGTATTACAGTCGTTTCATATATAACGATTTCTTCACATAGATAATGTATACAAATATATCTTGCTACCACTGAAAATTCATCAAGATTTCAGATATTTTTTTTCATTAACGGGGTATTAAATCCTGCTCACATCCAACCTCTGTCTGTCAAAGTGAGAGTCGAATATCCTGGAAGTCTGTCGGCAAACTTAATTATAATTACCCAGAGTACTGACCTTCATGCGGGTTATGGATTAATTACAGTACTGGTTCCATACTACTCAGCTCCCTTTCAAGTGAACAGAATGGATTGAGTCAAGCATTACAAGGACACAAATGGAAAAAAGTCACTGTCTGACTTGTTTGTATTATCTTAGGTTCTCTACATACATGCTTCTATGTATGATAATCTATGTAACCGTATTTGTGTATACCTGAGTAAAGTTAGTTAATAAGATTTCTCAAGTAATATAACAGAAAACAAGAATGTTCTACATAATTTTTTTAGATAAATGGACACATACCGAGCTAATAAGACATTTACTGTGCGCCCCGATAACATTACAAACTTTCTTCTAAGTAAGACAAAGCAATGTTTGGAAAGGAAGATAACAACACTACCAGAGTATGTGTGCCGGCTCTGGAATAAAGCCGTATGAATATACGACAATTAAGTTTACTAAACTCTTGAAATAAAAAAAATGCCATAAAACGTAAATTTTCAATATTTTTCAGTTTATTGTTCTCAGTAAGATTTGTTTTTAAAGCCAGCTGAAGGATTGAAGTAAAATTTTGTAAACTGCCCCTACACAATTCAACAATAATCCACAATAATCCACCTGTATTTTTTGTACCTCTGTTTGTATGCTAAATTTCTAAATAAATAAATAAATAAAAAAAAAACATTGAAGTTACTGAAGCCGATCAGATTAGGTATTCACAAATCATCGCATGAAGAAGTTTGTTCTTGTAATTTCTTCAATAAAACTGATAAAGTGGCACCTGCCCAACAAGTTAAATCCATAAATGTCTTTAGTGAACACAGACCCATATTTAGGGTTAGAAGCCGAACAGAAGAGGAAATATCTAGTTATTGAATGGAAACCTGTTTAATCAAATTTAGCAAATTAAAACCTGCAGAGCCCAAAATCGATAAAGAACTTCCTTTGAGCAAAGTTCACCATTGCTGAAAGTTGAAACTGATTAGAGGAGACATTCCCCAGTTATTGCCCGTAATACAACGATTCCATATTTATTGCCAATGTTAGAAAATTGGCAAAACTTTGCATCTACGAAACCTAAATTTACTGGATGCCATCATATTAAGATAAGATAAGATAAAGATTTCGTTCGGATTTTTAACCCCGGAGGGTTAGCCACCCAGGATAACCCAAGAAAGTCAGTGCGTCATCGAGGACTGTCTTACTTATTTCCATTGGGGTCCTTAATCTTGTCCCCCAGGATGCGACCCACACCAGTCGACAAACACCCAGTACCTATTTGCTGCTAGGTGAACAGGACAACAGGTGTAAGGAAACGTGT